GGGGGGGGGGGGGGGGGGGGGGGGTTCCCCATGGGTTTTTTTTTGACCCCTGGGTATCCAGGGGTCAAAAAACCCATGGGGAGATAGGGGTGGGGGGAGGGGAAAAAATGGAGCAGTACATGCATGGACAGTGCGCCCTTGCAGCATGGAGAACAGCTGGCTGCGGGTATGTGGTGCTGCAGTCGTGTTTGCGGTGCCATATACCACACGGCCGTGCTCATCTGGATGCACCAAAGTGCCTGGTAAGATTTCTTCCAATGGTACCATTTCCATTTGAAAAATTTCATCTTTAACTAGACATACCTCTAAGCAGGCCACTTCTTCATTTATCATCTGATTACAAAATTCTTTTAACTTTAGAAATCACTTATTTTACAATTGTTACAAAAAAAAAAAATCACCTCTCTCTCACACATATGCAGCACATTTCAGAACCTTTCTATTCACAGCCAGGTAGTGGTCTTGTTTAAATGTACCCAAACTAATACGATCAGATCAGTCAATAAACTGAACTTCATACCTTATTGTATATCAGCATTGTAATTTCTGTGTTTTTTCAAATTAAAATCTCCATGGCATTTGAAGGATAGTCTTGTGCTATGGTATTCTACATTAAAATTAATTCTGCCAAGAATGATGTAGCCATGATGGTCCAGAAATCATGTGAGATGCAGTCAATCAAATAAAAAATTCTCTCTTTAAGAAATCCTTGCCTACTGCCAAAAAGGAATTCAGGATTTCTTGAATATTACTTAAATTAATAATAATGTCACTTATTGACAATATTATACTAGAACCTTGGGAACAACCAGGTGAGGTCCCACTGTCTTTGGGACACTTGCTGCATATTTGTACAGCACCTAAGAGCTTTCCAAATCAAAATCTGGGATGAAGAACTGAAATCTGTACTTGTTTAATGATGAGAAGATGACAAACCTGATCTCTCTCTAAAAGTTATGCAAGTGGTTTTGATATGTGATGTGTATATTGACAGTACAAGTATATTTTGAATGTAACAGTTTATAGTTAGCCAGTGGAAAAATTGTAACTCTCAATCAACATAAACATTTAGAGTAAGACTGAACAAGACATTATATCTAAGTTTTTGAACTGTGGGACCTTTAGGATGAAAGACTTACCGTGCTTTTGCTTACTTGCTCATATTTACTTCCAAGGAAGAAGTTTCTTCACCCCACTTAATGAGAATCACTTACAAGATATAGAAGATATCATGTTATCAGATGTAACAACTTTCTGAGGTATAAAACACAACCACCACACATTCTAAAGGATCTCAGTGACTATTAAGAAGTCAAACATGTGTGAACTATGCAATAAATATGGCAATTAGACAGTCAAAAAAACCCAAACAGACTTAAGTGTAGCCCCCTATGGTGAAACATAACAGCTGTAAGAGTGCGCCACATGTATACTTATAATGAAGTTTAAATTTTCTAATTTCAGTATGGAAGAACTGAATGAGATAAGAAAGTTTTCCTTGGCATTTTCCTGCCATATAGTCACAAGACAAGTATGTTAAGTTTCAAGAAACCAGAAGCCAAAACAGTTATCATAGACCATGTTATATAACTTGAAAAGTATGATTAATCAGGAGCCAGAATATACATGATTCCTTTGTTTTCAGTCAGGCTGCATGTTAAAAAAAAAAAAAAAAAAAATCATCCATAGCTAGGAAACGAAAAGCTATGGAAAACAGGATTCAGATACAGATTAATGAAACAAGTAAAATCTCTTAAGAGTAAGTATAACTCAATGTAAAACAAGGGAACAAAGCTGTTGCATGTGTGCATGTGTATACATGCACACAAACACACACACTGTCACCCAGTTACATGAATAAAGCTGGCTCAGTCTTTTGGTTTTGATTGTTGGCACATAACTGGGTAAGTGGTTGCGTCTGACCAATGGTAACAGTTTGACAAGGATTTCACTGTCTTGAGAGGTTTCCCTGGTCTTGCCGCTAGGCCAAAATACCAATGAAAAGGAAGCAATAAAAATCAAGTTCTTCCTTAAAAAATTCTCCTCTCAAGTTTTGCTCCATTACATGTGAGGAAAGAAAAATAATTCTTGGGAAGCAAAATATTTATACATTGTTACCAGACAAGCCTCTGTTAAGACGTTTTAGCCTGTAAACTTTTGTCACTTCCAACTACAATGCTGAGATTATGTTGGTGCACTCAGGAGTGGAATACCAGTTTTAAATTACAGAAAGTATTATATTCCTGTATACAGCTGCAAGTTACAGTTCCACAGTATGGCTTTTTGTCATAAAAGCTTTACCCAGTTTTCAACTACAGATGTAACATCTACATTTTAAGATGTTATACCTTTTTCACACAAACTTCTTTTTATAATGTGGGCCCAAATACCACCATCACCACATACTACATTAGTTCTGGTGCACTTAACAATAAGATCCCAGACTATTCAAATATTCTATATATTAAGATATTGAATTAATTATGAAGCCATGCAGTGACAAAATTTGAGAACCTATTTACCATTTTTGGTGAATTCTTCAGAATTGTAATTTACCACTTCATTTTTCGTGTGTTTTCTCTAGACCTCCTTATTAAGATCACAGCTTAAAATATGAAGTCAACACACTGTTATTTAGAAGATTCTGATGTTAGACAGCTTCGGACCAAACTAATGGAAGCTGGACACTCTCCCATTCACCCTAATGCACTAAGTGTATTTGCAATCATTTAAATGTGAACATATTCAACCAATTGCTGTTACACAGATCACTTTCAGGAGAGTTTAAAGTGAGAAGGAACAGATTAGTTCAGCTGAGGCTGGGGAATCAATATTCTTAAAGAAAAAAAAAAAAGGACTTCCTAAGCAACTGGTCATCAACAACTTGAGAAAGTTGTTGTTATACTTTTGCCCCTGCTTTTTATTTAGATTTGAGCTTAACATTCATTATCTCTGTTGCTGTACACTTTAAAAGAGAATTTGTTGGTTTCTTATAAAGTGGGGGAAAGGTTAATTTGGTATTGTTTAGGCAAAAAAAACACCTCTTGTTCTCTTCAACAGGTTTTTGAAATATGTTGTTAATAAATTGGGCCTAAACCCTGTTGGTATTTTCAAGCAAAATGCATACATTCAATTTTATTAAATAACTCAAAGCAAAACTCATTTGATAAAGAGTTTTCAACCTCAATATTACGTAAATAAAAAGTAGACCACGTTAGTGGTTGTACAGCACTGATATGAAGCAATTCAACCACCTCACAGGGCATAAAGAGAATAAAAACAACAAAGCACGTAGTAATATGGATATGGAACTCATAATACAACCTACATGTATATCAAAATGAAGAACTCAAGAGACACTTTCATTAATTAATATATTTTCTGCATTATAGTTAACATATGTACTTTCTTCGTGTCACCCTTATTTTCGTTAAGTATTGATATTTTGTTATATTCAGACATGAGTACATTTTCAAAGTCTTTTGCAATAAATATCATAAAATAATAGAGATTCACATAATAAATATTCTTTACAATAAAAAAAGTTTTAACAGACTTTTGTCTTAAAAATAGTCAGGATTCAACTTTGTGTTTTATACATAAAATATACAAAAAGGACCACAATTTGTGGCTAAGGCAATAAAACACAGAACAGAGTAAAGTTATGAAGCACAGATCAGAGCTAGGTTCACTAAACCAAGGAAGTAACAGAAATCTTAACGATCCAAGAACATTTAGGCAACTTAATTCAATGACACCTGAAGACTGCTTGGATACACAAAACTCCTCCAACTTCAGTATCAACACAATCTTGATGGACTGCACAAACAGGAGAAAAGGGCTGGAGTGGCTGGTGTCCTTCACAGATTTGAAAGCAAGAGAAAAAAGTGAAAAGTTGCAGCCATGTCTCCAATGTGAAGATCTACATAGTGAAGCAAAACAACTGAAGCAATATTGAAGGGGGGGAAAAAAAAGCACAAGCCAGGCAAGTCTCTGGATTGAGACAACTCCAAGAAGGGTCAGGAATAGAGGGAAGAGCAGCTTATTTGATCAATGGTTTAAAAAAAAAAAAAAAAAAAAAAA